AGGATAAATTTGCTCATGTTTTTGTAATGGATGTAAATCTGTTATCTTCCCATCAGTTTCAAATGTACTCAATTGAACATTGTATGGAACTGAACCACTGATGACTGGATATCTAAACCTAAGGAGAACGATGGCTTCACTTCACTTGGGGACGATGACTAAATTTTATGGACTATATCTCGCTATGSTTCCCTGAGACAACATATTGAAAATACTATGTCTCATTACTATCAGCTTATGTTTGTCACCTTGAATGTTTGAGTTGTTCATGGGTTTATGTTGGGTTTGGTTTTAGTGTTCTGTACATTTTTGAGGTACATGTCTGTGTGTCCATTTTAAAATGTAAAAGACAATAAACAGATATTTGAAAATAACTGAGCTTTTTATTAAAGCTTGTAATTAGGCAAAAAATCATATCTGTWGATAGTTTTTCTGAAATCTGAAGAGTAAAAATGAAGATGAGGAAGTGCTGATAAGGCAACTTGTGTTACACTGAACCCTAGCGTTTAAAAGGAAAACTCACAAATACAAATTACTTTTTTTCTTGATATTTTTTGTTTTCATCATTTAATGAGATTCTTTTACAAACACAGAAATTCTGCTTTTAAAGGGGACACAAAACATTTTGTTGTGGATTTTTCTGCAGAAAAGTTGAATTTAGTCTCTCCTGGTGCTGTGTTGATGTGTTTACCTGTATAAACTGTTTAAATCATCTTTTTCAACCTGTTCAGTTTTCTCTGTTCCCTATTACATTTTATGAACTATTACGTCAACTTATTTGTGACAAAACTTTCAAAAAAGGTCTGGACTTACCAATTTGGTGGTCCTCATTCTCCTCTGGTTCTGGGTCAGACTCTGGCTCCAACATGTAAGGCTGGATGGACCAGTCTGCTGTGGTTGACATCTTTTAATTAAATTGTAAATAAAACGTTTGTGTCGCTAGTCGTAACCCCCCTCACTCAAAGTGGAATGAGTCTAGAAGCTGGAGTGGGGGGCGGGGTGTGAAGGGCCTTGTTTAGATTTAAAGAGACAGCCTTAAAGCGAGTTGATCTGAGACACGCCTCAGAAAAAGGGCGGAGCTTAAAGAGGAATTCAGACCAAAGCGTTACAGTTCCACTTCATAAAGACCCCGACCAGAGTTGTAAAGTAACTAAGTACAAATACTTTGTTACTGTACTTGAGTAGAATTTTTGGGTATCTGTACTTTACTTGAGTAATTATTTTTCAGCCTACTTTTTACTTTTACTGCTTGCATTTTCAACAGTTACCTGTACTTTCTACTCCTTACATTTTTAAAGAAGACAAGGATTTGAAAGTTGTTACTTTTATTCCTTAGCTGCCTTGCACTATATGTGAGTGTTTTTTTTAGCGTATGATCCTGTGTTTCTGTGTAAACACAGGATCAGAGCATTTTTTAAACTCATTTTTCCTATTTTGTGTAATCCAAGCTTTTTAAAGGTAGCACAACCCCAACTGGTTGCTGCATGACCTGAACACCTGTTACCCCATGTTTTTGTCATGTGTGTGCCTTCTGGAATGGGTGTTCTTAAATGTAATTTCATTGTGTAAACGATGACAATAAAGGCTTTCATCATCATCATTTCATTTTTGCTTGTTTTCATTCCAGTGTTTTATYGTAAAAAATAAATACTATCCATATAAATTGTGCCTCCTAGATAGAGTGAATTTAATTGTGGTTGAATGAGAAGTATAAATATATAAAATTCTGATACCGTATTAGTTTGTACACAAACAAATCATGTCACACTCCAGCAGGACATAATCATTCAAATAAAAGGAGTGTACTTAAGAAGTATTTGTATTTCATGAATTATATTATTGCATTTGGCCACAGCCCTCAGAGAGATTTTCATTTTGGGGAAAAGGTTTGTGCAGCCTTGATATATGTATATAAACTGAAATAGACTAGTGCATCCTAAATTTAACATTAATTAATTATTTTAATATGATATAGTCATTTCTACATTTTTTGGGGGGAGGTCACCTCCTAATAAATGTCATTACAGAAAATCTAACTGCTGATTTTAAATCAATACTTTTACTTTTAATACTTAAGTACAAAAATATCAGATACTTTAAGACTTTTACTTAAGTAATATTCCCAAAGGAGACTTTAACTTTTACCAAAGTATATTTTTGGTAAGATACTTGTACTTTAACTCAAGTATCACTTTGTGGTACTTTATACAACACTGACCCCAAATGGAGGATTTAAATGTAAAAATAGGATTTAAATCATCATATGTCATCTTTAATAAAAAGTCTCAGAAACAAGTTTTTACCAGCAGCCATGAGAATAAATCTACATTCTGACTGACGTTTTAATATCAAACAAGCAGAGTCACTGTTTTTGCTGATGTGAGAACAAATGTGATCAGAAATGAAAAGTCACATTAATGAGAGTCAAACAGGATTTATTGTTTGTACACTAAATAATCAACCTGTATGCTCCAGCAGAGCGCTGTGCTTCGATTAGACGATGAATAATTTACAAACGCTGCTTTTCACTTCCTGTGACGGGTGGGATTTATTGTTTGTGAAGAGAGAGACTCCATGAATAAACAAGAACAATGGATTTTCAGTGAATCCAAGCTCTCCAACTCCCGTACATCTTAGCTTTCTTTCAAACTAATTTAATAGGTGATACATGTTGTTAATTATTTTATATAATCAACTAGACTCTTATTGTTTGTAGAGRCATTTTAACATCATTTCCACTGTATTTTACTCCTGACGACACATGATGACTGCATCAAAACTGTCTAACATGAAACCATGAAATAACTTTCACATATATTCAGATTTCATTTGTGCCTTTTTAATCCTCTTCAGAATGATCCCATAACTGCCYGAACATGTGCTCGCTGCTCCGCCTGGGTGTTTCCCACCTGTGATGTGTCACAGCAGAAATCTGACAATATAAAGTACATCAAGAAGAGAAAACAGACAGAACACATGCACATGTTGTGATGCACAGCAGCTCAGATCCAGCTGCAGGTTCATCAGCTAAAGTCTGAGCAGTCCTTTTGTTTGTCGTGCTCTTTGTTCCATTTTCCACGTCAAAACAAGATAACTGAAAAACTTATTATGGCTTCAAAGGTGTTCAAGAGAGGTCAGAGCTAACTGTTCAGTTACAGTAAACTGAAATGTGATGAAGCTGTTATAGATTAATGTCATTTTTTTATGCTGATCATTTCAAGTATTATCTCTTGGGCCAAAAAAAATATTGCAACAAGAGCCATTTCTGGCCTGCAGACCATGAGTTTGACATTTGGTCTGTAGATTCAGTTTATTATTTAGCATAAGATCTTCAATGTAACATTACTCAGACTGCCATTCTTCCTGTAGATAATCTGCTTGACCCAGTTCAGGGTCACAGGGAGCTGGTCTAGTCATTTATGGATGAGAGGTAGAGCACCACCTGCCGTATAGAAAATGAACAGTTTGTGCTCTCACGCACACAGGGACAATTTAAAAATCTCTAGTTAACCTAAGCTACATGTTTAGACTGTGAGCAGGAACTGGAAAACTAGAGGGAATCCATGAACAGAGGGGAAGATACAAACTTCACATGTACAGTATGTGTGTGTTTTTATATACATGTATTATATATCACTGAGAAGAATGAAGTCAAATTTGATCAAAACGGACTAAACATTGTTTTAGGGTTTTCTAGTGCGTAATTTTTTTCCGTAATTTTAAAGAGGAAACCTCAAACAATAGCTGGATATTAAGATTTCCCAGATGGAAAGAAACAGAGGCTGTCACAGGGAAAATGTGAAAAATTTAGGGCATTTTTGCTCAAAATCTTATGATTATTTTATTTATTTATTTTTTGTTATTTTGCTACTGCTCAAAAAAGTGCTTTGTTTATATTTCAGACAGTTTGTTCAAAGGATACATTGATATGGTATTTATTAATTACAGTATATTTTGACCAAATTTTAACAAAAACTATATCTGATTATTTATTTGTGACCTAATCAAGGGTCAGGGTAAAGTTATGTAATGTGCAGTGTTTGTGTTGTGACTCATTTAAAAATCAATAACTGAAATAATGACTTTCAACAACACACATATTATTGAACCCTTTGTTTCATATTCAGACCACTCTAATGAACTATTATTTCAACACAGTCATTTTTTTCCTTCAAATTTTTATGGTAATTTAATTATTTAAAAACAAAGTGATTAAACTAATTGTCCTCCCTGATCAGGATTTTCAAGGAAATAATTAAAAAACAATAACTTAATAATAATTGTAGCCTAACAGACAGTAATGTGGTTTGATTGTATGCTACAACGTCTTGCCATACTGAGCGAACCGTTAACTTTCTGCTTTGATAAATCATTCAGTTTCACTTTAATGCGCCATAAAAACAAGTCAGTAAACTTTAACATCTGTTATGTCTGGTTGTCACTGTGTTGTTTAGTTTGTTTGTGAGGGTCGCGGGGGGGGGGGGGGGTTCTCGTGCTGCACAGACGTTTGCCAGCGTCGCGCTGCATGCTGGGATAGATCACCCTCTTGTTTACAAGGTTTTAGAGCGTTTTGCGTTGTTTTAAGTCTAAAACAATCACTTTTTGCTCTTCCTTCGCTGTCAGGCGGTGTTTCCGTGAGTCAGRAGAGTCGTGTTGTTTTAACAGCGACAGAAAGAAGACCAGCAGCTGTCTCTGACACGAGGAGGACTTTTATTTTTGCACAGTCACTGACAGATTTACAGGACTGCTTATCAAATCACAGGTTGGTAGTTGGAGACATGACTCGACTTCACTTTATCTTCAAACTTGACATGATTAATGTTAAACTCCTCCTGTTGACTCTTGGATTTACTTCTGCATTTTCATGTTCGCTGTGGTTTTAATTTACTTTTTTTTTTCATTATTTGTTTCTGTTTATCTTTKCCAGTTATTTTAATATTCAGCAGGAAGCCGGGACAGTCAGGAGGATCTGGTACTTTGGACTCAGGCTGTCTCAGAAGTCCAAAAGGTTCTTGTTTATCACTCAGGTAATCCACGTTGCCAGCCTTACCTGTCCTCAGCTTGATCCGACCAATCAGATCACTTGAATTACAGTCACGTGATCAAACCGGAAACGCATCTAACGCTGCATTGATAACCATGTCAACCCCTCATATATGTTTATATTATTCATTTTGTTGCTTCCTGCCAGTAGAGGAAGTTTATTTCTTAAAGTTTCCAGAAGTTYACTTAGTTTTTTTGGCACCTTGGCTTTAAAAATCATCAGAATATATATTTTCCCTTTTTTATATGGAAATAAACTTGTGCCATCAGAAACTGAATTTGAATTGTTCAGACTGAATCTGCATTTGCATAATTTGAAATTAAATGCATTTGTTTGAAAATTAATTTCACTAAATTGAAACTGAATTTGATGGTTTGAATCTGAAATAATTAGCATTGAAACTATATTTTGTTGAATTGAAAACTCTGTTTGACCACTTTCACTTTCAGTTCTATAATTCAGTTTGGTTATCTAAAAGTTTAAAGCACAGAAGAAGCACTAACCTCTCAGCCGGTCAGTTATTTGCCTGGATTTTTCATGGTGGTGGGGGGATCAGCTTAACTCGACTCTATKAGAGTTATTTCTATATTTGTGTGAAACAAAAAAGTATTCAGCTTGAACATAATAAGGCATTTCTTTGCATCCTCAAAATGATTAAAGTGAATATACTGATTATGCCACTTTGTTACATATTTACTTGACTTTATTTAACTTCTAATAAAGTCAAAACTCTTTCATTGAACCTTTCTTATGGTTTTATTGGATAACAAACCTTTATTTTTAATTTCTGTTGTCATCAAAAACTGTTTTTAAAATATAATTTTGATGACTTGTGATGACTGCACTTTCATTTATTTCATCTTCTTGGTTAAATGTGTGGAAATGTTAATTTTCTTGTTGATTTAGAGAAAAATTGAAGAAACGAGTAACAAATGATTGATGATATATATATATATACATAAAATTACTGCACTCAGAATTATTATCCACAAATTTACATAAAGTTTGACAAGAAAACACCTTATTACAAACATAAATATTATTACTTTCTCAGTGGTTTTGGTCCAAAGGCTGCAGATCTTTGCCTTAGATATTGTTGTATTTGATAATCACTGCTAAGTACACATCCTCTTGGACTCCAATCATTTACAGCTTTGATGCTTACGCTTTACAATTACATATGAACAAACCACATATAATGTTGTATTACATTTTGGTCTGTATCATTGCTGCTCAACTCCCACAAACAATGAGATCTTCTGCTCAAACCTTCCTTCAGGAGACTGTCCTCCAGGCCTGGAAACAAGAGTCTGAATCCAGCCGAATGTGAGTCCCTATGTGGGTTTGAACTGGTGGTTATTATTATTCATCAGGTTATTATTATTATTATTATTATTATTATTATTATTATTATTATTATTATTATTATTATTATTTTCGTTTGTTGGTTTTGTTTTGTTTTGCAAAAGCACTTTTATAAGTTTTTGCTTTATTTCCTTATTTAACTTGCTCTTTTTGTCTTTGTGTGCCAATTAACTCATATTAGATAACGTTCTATACAGAGCCACACAGTGGTGTATACATATGTATGCCAATGTTATACATACTGCAATATACCAATGGGTATATACCTACTGTATATACCACTGTGTAAATCATCCTGTGGTCTGCTGCAGAAGTTACCAAACTATTTTCTTCAAAGCCCCACTTCTTACTTCCAAGCCAAGGAAGTAACTTATTATGCCCCCACCCAAAAATACTCCCCATGTTACGAATAAAATAGGGATAGTTGTTGTTGTTTATTACCCACTGAAATACACAGGGCAGCTGTGTACATTTGACCATCCTAGCAGCCTAACTTAATATAAACAAATCACAACTAAAGCTTTGCTGCATCTAAATCAGCAAATATAATGCAAAACACATTTAATTTACTCATTTGAAACAGTAGAATTAATAAAATATCAATATTAATCCATATTGTGCAAGCATTAGCATTGTGCTAATTAGCTGCTAATATATAGCCTAAACCCCGTAGAAAAACGCGAACATAATGCTAATCTCTCCAGAACACTCGTGCAGGAAACAGTTTGCAACACAAAAATGAACCTACACAGTTACACAAATGCTTAATATTACAATAAAAAACAATTTACTATGTTGGGCAATGCTATTAACTGTAAATGTAGAGGTTTTCTTACTTTTTTTTCTTTTTAGATATTTGCTTCTTTTAAAGTTACTTCCAGTTTCAGTAATGTTACAACTATACGGCTCCATAATGGAATGTAGGGGGTCAATCCAACACTGCACCTCTACCAAAGATGCATCAAACCGTTATCCTTTTATCAAAATAAAATAATGAAGTGAAAAATTAGAAATTTATTTAAAAAAAGGAAAGAAAAAGTTTACCTGAGTTACACAGAGTTTTATTTATTCAAATGGACTTTTTTTGGTGATTTTTATGTACAAACAATAAACTGATACTTTTACAACCTCTGAGCAGACTGGGCTATCCCCCTCTGCCCCCCACCCTCCTCCGCCCCTCAGGTTGGGAACTACAGGTATACTGTATATATGTATAAATGAGTAATGAGTTTGTTGTGTAAAGCTCTGTCTTTCTGTTCTAACATTTCGTACAGGAACAGAGAAACTGCAAAGAGATTAATTGAGCGATACTTTCGGCAGTTAACTGAAGGCTGTGGAAATAGCAGCTGCACAAATGAGTCATGTGCATCAAATTCGGATTTTCAACCTCTGGATAAAAATACTGCAGCTGCCAAAGCACTTGAGCTGTTTAAGGTTAATGCGAAACTTTGTGATTACTACCCCGTTGTCAAGTCCAGCTCCGACGAAAGCTTTGAGATGGGCGATAAGATGAGCGTCGATGAATTCTCAGGTAACTTAAAACAGACTCCCAAGTCTCGAGGAGGCTGAGCTGAAGCCTGTTCCATAATGTTTTGCCTTCTTGTTGCAGATGTTCAGTACCTCACGGAGCACACTGTGTGCAGGATCCTGAGTTTTTGTGAAGAGGAAGGGGATTATTCTGCTCTGGTCCGCGTCATTGGCAGGATTTTCTCCAATGCAGATGCTCTGATGAAAAGTTTCAGGAAGAATGAGCCAGGCGCCACCAAAATGCTTGATTCAAAAGATGAAGAGAAAAACAAGAGCTTAGACAGGAAGGTCACCTCATCTGAAGCCACTGTGCCAGATGAGGCTACGAATGGACCGCTGGACCCCTGTGCTGTGACAGTGGACATTGATGCAGTTCGCAGAGTCTACAACAAACTTCTGTCCATCGACCATGTGGAGTCAGCTCTTGTGAACGGACTCATTTACCTCACTCCAAACGTGGAGCTTGATCTGGAGTATCTTAATGTGTACGAAACCAATCCAGATTACCTGAACATCTTCATTATAGTGATGGAAAACAGTAACCTGCACAGCCCAGAGTACCTTGAAGTGGCATTACCGCAGTTCTGCAAGGCAATGAGCAAGCTACCGTTGACCGGTCTGGCCCGCCTGTCAAAGCTCTGGTCGACGTATGGCCTCCCAAATATCCGGCGCATGATGGAAACCTTCCAGCAGCTCATCACTTTCACGGTTGTTAGCAATGAGTATGATGCTGAAAATCTGGTGAATGATGATGAGACGGTAGTGGCCGCAACCCAGTGCTTGAAGATAGTCTTCTATGCAAGTATCTTGGGAGGGGAGGTGGATGTAGAGCACAGTGRGGAAGATGAGGAGGACTCTGAATCAGATGAGCTGACACCGCACGAGCTGTTAGGGGAGGAGCAAATCTATAAGAAGGGCCCACTGGCCGACCCGTTAGAGAAAGAGCTGGGCGTCCGTTCTATAGACAGCGTAAGACCCCTCATCCCCTTCGAAGACTTTATCAATGAGTCCTTGAACGACGTGATTGAAATGGACAAAGATTTCACCTTCTTTAAAGTCAACGCAGAAACAAAGTTTTCTTTCCAAAGCTGTCCCTTCATCCTCAACATAATAACCAAGAATCAAGGGCTGTATTATGACAACAGGATCAGGATGTACAGCGAGCGGCGCCTCACAGCTCTCTACAGCATGGTCCAGGGCCAGCAGCCCAACCCCTACCTGAAACTCAAAGTACGGAGAGACCACATCATCGACGACGCCCTCGTCAGAGTGAGTTTCACTGCACTGCTGTCTCGTTTGCATTTATCCTGATCCTGTGTAGTGTCTGTGAATGTTTAATTATTCAATTCTTCTCTTGTTGCAGCTGGAAATGATCTCCATGGAGAACCCATCTGATCTGAAAAAGCAGCTGTTTGTTGAGTTTGAGGGGGAGCAAGGTGTAGACGAAGGAGGAGTTTCTAAAGAGTTCTTTCAGTTGGTACTGGAGGAGATCTTCATTCCAGATATAGGTTAGACCAAACGAATACTTCTCCATCAGTGTTTTATATTGAGTTTGAAACAGTAGAAGGCTTGTCTCACTCTCCCATATCTGTACATTACTAACCTTAAACCTTGACACAAAAAGAACTAACATCCCTGACTTTTAATAAAAAAGGAAGAAATTTCTTTTACGGCATCAAGACCAGTCCGATTCCCGAGTCAGGACATTGTAACTTCAGTTAAACCTTATGTACCAAATTATTTCATAGTGGTGTGCAACAACCATAACTCTACACAGCAATGTTAAGCCTTAAGGTCCGTTTCACACTGGATGTCAACCACAATACAATGATGCATATCAGCCAGATCATAGATGGTCTTGGTGGGGTCTTCTGGGGCAACACAGTGGGCTCCCCACTGAGCTTGATATAGCAATAGGTCGTTGAGGATTTTGAGCTTGTACACACTTGATGTGTAGGGGTGTAACAATACATTGATATATCAATTAAATGATCAATGATTCAAATAGATCAAGGCAAAGCATAAACAGTAATCCATATCATCATCAAATGCCCGATGTGGATGATGTATCAGTTGACGAGTTGTGAATTGAATCAAAATTGTATCATGACAGACTTTGTGATATTGAGAAACATTGTATCATCATCCAAAAAAATTGATAAAATATTGTATTGTGATAAAGCTGTTGATTTATACCCCTAACGTTGTGGTGGTTTACCATGGTGGCAACTTATCTGTGTCCTTGGTGGAGGTGCACGAGGGGAGAAAGGAGTCTCTGCAGTCACAAAGTAGGAGTTTCTTATTTTGTTGGAGGAGTTGACCCAAGACATGATTGGTCTGTTTGACGTTTGTGGGCATAGTTGGCCCAAGATGTGATTGGTCGGATTGACGGTGGGGTTTGAAGAAGCTGGGGACAGCGGGGAGTAGCTTGGTCRTTTTAGGCAGGAAGCAACATGTTTTTTAAGATTAATTTTAGTCCTAACATAAAGGAAGCTGCTAGCTGCACAAAATTTGAACGTCGTACATATGAAGGGACGTGTAATAATTTGGCTCGGTCAAAACGTTCCTAACCAGCCTATAAAAAGATAGCTAAAAATCTATATGAATATGAATATTGGTTAGTATTTGAGAYAGGAAGAAGCTTGCCACATGAATTTTTTTTGGTAAAATATTTATTGGTGTTTTTACATGTTAATGAACTTTAACAACATAAAACAACTTTCCATCCCTCCCTCACCCATACAAAAAACAGCACATCAAAAAAAAAAAAAATACATATCAGCTACACAGTCAAGACAATGCTGGATATATATCATAAATTGACCTTTGTCCGAGTATACAAAAGAGAAAGTGCTGTTATATTACTAAATGTTAGCAAGTTGCTTGTTTGCATTTTTTTTTAATTTACTGAAGGAATTTCTGTACAGGATCCCATACTTTCTCAAATATCTTGACTCTGTCTTTGTTGTAGTATCTCAGTCTTTCCAGGTGTACCGTGTTTGCAGAGGTGTCAAGTAACTAAGTACAAATACTTTGTTACTTTACTTAAGTAGTAATTTTGGTTATTTGTACTTTAGTGGAGTAATTCTTTTTCAGCCTACGTTTTACTTCTAGTCCTTACATTTTAATTCAATTATCTATACTTTCTACTCCTTACTTTTTAAAAATGCAAAAAGTATTTCATTTCTTTGACTTGTTTTTATTCCATCTTTTCATTGTTCAGAAAAAACTAATAAATATAAATCTATCCAGACACATGGAGCCCATGGATAGAGTGGATTTGATTGTGGTTGATGAGAAATGTAAATACACACCATCCTGACATCCTATTGGACTGAACTCACTCCATCACACCTGTGTGACACAAATCACATCACATTCTAGCAGGACAGACTGTGGCACAGTGGTTCCCAACTAGGGCTACAAGTACCCCTTGGGTTACGCGAGCATATTACGGGGGTACGTGGAAAAATTTCCCAGGTGCTCAAAAAAATAAGTAAAATGCGGAAATCACGGATTTGACACAAAATGGAATCCAGTATAAAAAGCAGAATCCCACAGAATTTGCTCATTTGTGTGAATTTCTGATGTATTTTGGATGTTACAATATATTTTGGACATTGCTGTTTTCTGCACCTGCCATTACCTGGCTTACTTATTTAATTACTTATTCACTTTCAAGGCAACATTTTTATCTTTATCTTTAATCTTTCTTTGAAAAGAATAAAATGACAGATACTTAAATGTTCTATGGGGTTAAATAAATAATTTTCATTTAATAAACAGTTGTACATTATAGTTTTGGAGAATCATTATTATGTTTGACTGAAGGGGTATTAAAAATGGCTTGGGGTAAAAAATTCTAAAAAAGGTTGGGAACCACTGCGGTAGAAGATGTAGCCTAGAAATAAAAATGATTATAGCTGAAACAAGTAGTCCAGCCTGGCCCTTGCCTTCCCACGCCGTCCGCTCAATTTTAGTTTCCCTTACCAGGCTAAGTCTAGTCAGTTATTTCCAAATTTTCAACATTTTAATTTAACATTATACTCACTATTGACTTTAGAAGGAAAAATTGTCTGTGTGTGTGTGTGTGTGTGTGTGTGGGGGGGGGGGGTGCTATAAACCCTGAGGCACAGCCTAAGATTTTATTTTTAATTGCCTTTTTTATAGTGTTCATTACTTTTATACTTTAAGTAGTTTTAAAACCAGTACTTTATACTTTTACTTGAGTAAAAAGCTCAAGTTGAAACTTCTACTTCCGAAAAAGTACTTTTAAACCCTAGTAACTATACTTCTACTAAAGTAATGAATGTGAATACTTTTGACACCTCTGCATGTTTGCCAGTTCCCCTAGCCACAAATCAAACGTAGGTACACAGTCTTTCTTCCAAACTCTCAAAATCAACTTTTTAGCTACCACACCAAACCAAACAGCCATTTTCCCATTTATTCGCTGACTGCAAAACATTAGAGGCCCCAATAATGGCAGTAAGTGGATCTGGGTCCCATTGTGTCCTAAAAGCTTTTGAGAAGAAATAAAAATATTTATTCTAGAATGAGTGAAGCTGAACACAAGACCAAAAGGAGCGAATCAAGGTGCCATTAGCACCCTTACAACGATCACAAATTGGTAATGCCGCATGAAATTTTAAGTCAAAATATGATCACAATAATTTTTATTTGAGTAACTGATCTGTTTTAAACTGTACGTAGAGAGTCAATAAATCTTTTATTTTTTATTTTTTTACTATTATTACTTCATCTTTTAAGTCAAGTTAAGACAAGTCAAACGACCAATAGAGAAAACTCCGCCCACACAACAACTCCGCCAATCAAGATTAAGGTCAACTACGCCCACACCAAGACCTCTGCCAATCATGGGTTGGGCCAACTCCACCCACAGGACAACATGTACTGCAGAGACTCCTACTTGCATGAGGGAGCAGATCTATGACGTGGGTCTTACACAAATCAGCATAATTTGGTGGTTGAAGCAGTACTAGCCACACTGACTTCATGATGAGTGGAAGTACACATGGAAGTAGCATTGTCCTAGCATGACATGATCAGTGTGACGGTGAATCCTAATGTGGTTTCAAAACAGTCATTTGGGTAGGATTTTGGAAGAAGCTTTTACCTCCATCCCCCCTCCGCTTACGGAAGTTTATAAAATTTACATAGAATAAAAAGTTATGGAGAGCGAAGATTCTTTAGGTCACTTCCTCTGGCACCGCTTACAAAGTTTCTGAAATTTATGGAGGGGAAAAAACACCTTATAGCAGGGCTCTAGACTAACATTTTGCACTGGTTGCACCGGTGCGCCTAACATTTTTTTCTTAGGCGCACCAGCACAAAAGTTAGGTGCACCCAAATTTTCAACCACTTCAACCACAGGTTAATTTTTAATCACTGTTCATTAAGGTAATATTAACTCGAAAATAATTAGTTAACAATCTAGTAAACATGAAGTTCTTTATTTGAACCAGAATTGTACAAGACCTATAACTTACTGAAAAGTATTTAAAGTGATTCTATAAAATTGTAATTGCAAATGTTTAAGGGCTGAACATATTATAAACATCTTAAACATTTCATGGTTAAATTTTTTTAGACACCTGCCCCTCAGATGGACAACTCCTGTAGTTTGGCCCTATGGATCTTTGGCCTTGGATAAACAAGAATGATGAACAGAGAATAATGATTAATAACAGAAATATTACTGATATTTATTAAAAGGTTGTGCAGATTTTTTTTAAATAACACATAAAAGTCTGCAATTCCATTAGCATTAGTTGAATCTTATTATCTTATATTATTTCACTTAAATATCTGTCTAGTCTTATCCTCCTGAGACCCAGAAGAACCTATTTCAGATACTTGGAATGTAACTGTGGTGAAGTCGATTAAGTTCAAAAGCGGCCTGCCATACATAAGAGCTTCCTCATGCTGCTGAAATGATCTGCTGCGCTCACAGAGTAGACCCCGACTGTTAAATTAACAAGATGGACTTAAGAGCGAACAACCATCCACATCTTGTTTTCATCTCCAGCTAACAAGAAATAACTGTTTTTCATACTCCTATCTGGGTTTAAAAAAAACAAAAAGGTTGGTATATTTTATGGAACATGGAAAAAAAATTTCAGCGGGCGACCGCTCCCCCTCCCCCTCAAACAATTGGTTGTACCAGTATGACCGGACATTTTTTTTAGTCGCGCTATTAGGAAATCAGGTCGCATTTGCGACCAAATTGGTCGCACTCTAGAGTCCTGTATAACCGGAAATATCGGTTAAATCTCTGCAAAGCCAAAGATCTGCATAGTGACCTGAGGGCGTCCTGATGCATCACCAGCTGAATCAAAGTGTCAGAAAACCAACAGGACGTCCTTACGACACCCCTTTAGCTAAATGTCTGTTTGGGAGAGTCGGGCCAGTGCAGGGCGTAGTGCTACTAAGAGGTGTACTTGGTAGTATTATCATGGTAATCTGCTACTAATGTATAAAGCATGGTAAGGGCCAAAGAGAGGGTCGTGGAAAATATCATATAAAACCTATTTGGAGAGTACTAAGAGCATTTCAGCGTTGGGACAGCCTTTAAACTGAGGAACAGTTACTAGATTTACTGTGATACAGACGTGTTTTAACAGCCTGTGTGGGTTGTAGAGCGTGTATCTGGGTTGTTCTCCAGTGTGAAGGGGGCCTTAATAAATTTACAGGAAATGGTGTAGACTTCATATTTTGTAAATCTGTACAGTTTAAGTGAACATGGTGTACATTGATATAAGTTACCTTGTATAGTTTTATCAGTATCAAATCATTCTTAGGTTTACTATGGTAAAGTGTAAGGTGTTCATGTTTACTGTAAAGAGTGTTATCAGTCTTCTTATTCAATTTCATTTCTGTCAGTAATTTTTCTTTATGTCTTTCACTTCCTGAATGACTTCGGAACAGGAATGTTCACCTATGACGACGTTACAAAACTTTTCTGGTTTAATTCCTCCTCGCTGGAGAATGAGGCACAGTACACACTTGTTGGAATTGTCCTGGGGCTCGCCATTTATAACAACTGCATCCTGGATGTTCATTTTCCCATGGTTGTCTACAGGAAGCTCTTGGGGAAAAAAGGGACCTTCTTGGACCTGTCAGACTCCCATCCGGTGTAGTAACATTCTCCTAATCTAATACGCTTAAAATCAGTTCTGCTAAAAGAAGCTCCAGCAGAGTAGTACTCTTCATGTCGTTGCTTTGAATTTACTGTTACACATCACATCTTTGTCCTGTTGCAGGTTCTGCACCAAAGTCTGAAGGCGTTACTTGAATATACCGGTGATGTTGAAAAGGACATGATGCTCACCTTCCAAATCTCACACACAGACCTGTTTGGAAACCCAGTGTTGTATGATCTGAAGGAGGAAGGAGAGCAGATCCCTGTTACCAAGGAGAACAGACAGGTGGGTCAAAAGCTCTGCTTAGTCTTCAATGAGCATGTGATGGTAAATGGTAAATGGTACTGAACTTATAGAGCGCTTTTCAAGTCCCTCCGGACCCCAAAGCGCTTTACACTAACAGACATTCACCCATTCACACTCACATTCACACACTGATGATGGCAAACTACACTGTAGCCACAGCTGCCCTGGGGCACACTGACAGAAGCAAGGCTGCCATGCACCGGCGCCACCGATACATCCATTAAAAATAAAATATTATTGGGCAAAATTAATTTTCAGTGTTTCCCCTACAATTATACAAGATCTTTCCACATTAAGCATTCACATTGCATTTTGGCAGGAAATGCCAATTCTCTAGTTTTTGTGAGTTACTTTTTTTCTTTAGTTTCAGATCTTTTTCAGGTAAAATATTCTAAAGTCGGTGACTAAAGTGTAAATATAGAACTGATGAGGTTCCTTTTTAGACTACAATGTAAAGTTCTTGACAACAGCAAAAGAGGAGCATCAGTGAACAGAAAATGACCTAAAAATGAGTAATTCTGTYATTTTCATGCTCAAATGCTCTATACGTTGTCTCAGTTATAAACACAGAAGAAACTAAATTTAAGGAACTGCAGAAACTTGCTTTTGGATACCTTTAAACTTTTGTCATTTTATGTCTGTTCACAGGAGTTTGTTGATCTGTATGTGGAATACATCCTGAACAAAAGTGTGGAGAGACAGTTCAAAGCCTTTAAGAAAGGTTTCCTGATGGTCACCAATGAGTCGCCTCTGAAATATTTGTTCAGACCAGAGGAAGTGGAGCTGCTCATCTGTGGGAGCAGGGTGAGACTCTCTACCAACAAAACCCAAAAAGCACTTGGAGGGTTTTTAAACATGCAACAAATAACTCATTAATTCAGTTAAGCTTTGATTTAACAAATAGACTATCGTTTCTCTGCTCCAACACATCTGACTCCGTGATTTATTCACCTCTTCAAGTTCTGCAGGAGCCTGATAATCACCTGTTCATTCAGATCAGGAGAGCAGAGAAACCTCTAAAACATGCAGGACCTCCAGGGTCCAGAACTGGACACTCCTGCTCTAAATGGATCTGCACTTTGGTGTTTTCAGCACAGAGAAACAACAAAGTTGATTAAGTTCATAAGCAGCAGTGTTTCTGAAGATCATGCCAATAATAGAACAATCAAATTGTCTTTATTCATAAAACACATTTTACATACCAAGAGCTGACCAAAGTACTGCACAATAAAGCCAGTAATCAGTAATAATAACTGGTGAGTGTAAAAGAAGCATTAACCAGCATCATTCAGAGGCAAAATTAGCTCCTGCTCATGAATTTGTGAGAAGATTCACATTTATTTTTAGTTTATCCTGTTAAAAAGGCCAGAAATTGTGACAATAAAATAAAAATGTATCTATTTGTATTCCAGTTCATCACAAGATAACTGTTTAGCATGCAACCAGAGTGCTAAGTCCAAACAAAAAGATCTAGCTAAAGAAACAAATGGATTGTACAAAGTCACTCATCAGATAAATATATATTTTCTTAATGTAAAACTGATTAGAACATGGGTCTTTTATTGTCTGCTGGTATTACTTTGTGGGGAAGTTTTCAGGTGAGTAAAGGGTAGAAACAGTGTTAGATGTTCGTGACCTTTTTCCATCAGACAGAAATGTTTTTTTGTTTTTGTAATTCTTTATTTTTCATTCAGCAATACAGTGTCACAAGTAATGAACAGTAATATTATCTGGGCATTTGCTGTCATTTTTTACCCTCTCCTCTTTCAGTAGTTGTAATGTTATAAATTTAACCCTGGGTTTCTTCCCTTGCCAAAAAAACCTAGAGATAATTTTATATAATTATGACCCCCGCACGCAAAGCGTAAGTGGGAGTCATATTGTTTTCGTACGCTTTTTTTTTTTTTTCAGTGATATTTGTTCAACTGTAGCAAAAAAACGGCTGCACCAATCCACATGAAATTTGGCGGGACTGTAGATGAGTCTGACCTACACTGGATCAGGCAACGGTTTTACGATAGACCCCATATTTGAGGAGGGGGCTCCTTTCAAAGAAGGGGGTCTCTGGACATGCAAAAATGCTTATAACTCAGAAACTGTTCAACATAGGAGCTTCAGATTTTTTTTGTTGCTTAGCCCTGATGAAGCCCTATCCATCAGGCCTACCATCAGTGCCCACCCCCCCCCACCCCCATTTTATCTGAAAAAGAGGTATCTGGGCATGCAAAAATGGTTTTAGCTCAAGAACTATTAAACATAGAAGCTTCAGATTTTTTTGTTGTTCATGTTTAGCTCTGATGAGGGGCTATCCATC